TGGGGGGGGGGGGGGTGCATTAGTTCTAGGTTGCAATATCTTTTGCAAATTTTATGATACAAATAAAGTCACATACAAATTCCATGAGCTCACCAGAGACATCTTCCTGTCCACGGAGCCTCTGCAAGACCCGCTTTGCATCTAGCATTCGCCCTTTACTCACAAGCCATCTGGGGGACTCGGGAAAGTAAAATATTGTCAATATAAAATACAAAATGGAGGGGATAGAAAGCACACCAAGCATCAGTCTCCAAGTAGGAGAGCTCATCAACGACATGCCAAAAACCATGCAATATGAAAAGAACATGCCAACACAGCCAGTGAACTGAGGTAGAGTGTTCAATAAACCCCTTATCTCTGGTGGTGCTGTTTCAGATATATATATAGGGACAAGAGTAACTGCCAAACCAACTCCAAACCCATTCAAAAGTCTTGCCAAAAGTAGAACATAGATATTTGGAGACCAAAGCATTACAAGGCCACTAACAAAATAAAGAACCGAAGAAGTTATGAGCAAGGGACGACGGCCAAGCCAGTCAGCTATTGCACCAGAGCAAGTTGTCATCAAGACAGCACCAACAAGTGACATGGCAACAATAAGTCCTTCCATGGTAGGTTGTGTTTCTAGATTAAATTCCTTTTTAATGTATAGAATGGACCCTGTATTTTGAAACCAAAATAAGTAGAGAATTATAACCAATTCAAAGATATCAATAAGTAACATATAAGGGAAGAAAAAAAAAGAATGGATAATCTTGTTGAAATTTGAAAAAAATTATGAGAGACACCGACTGCACAAGGTACCGGATGGCATCGAAAAACAACAATAATTTTAAGAGGAAATATGGACTAACATCATGATTACTAGCAGTGTTAAGTAGAATTCCACAAGTAAAAACTCAGTATTGAAGAGCTAGGCCATATGGGAAAAGATTACCAGCTATAGTGGCATTGTCCCATCCTTGCAAAAAGCTGCCAATTGCAGCAGCAACCGCTACAAGCACAGCTCCACTCATTTCTTTTAAATACCAAACAAAACAAAACAACACTGCTGGTTATTCTTATTGATGATTATAGATACCTTTCAATAGAAAGAGAAAAAGATTTCACCAACTTTGTTATAGTTAGAACTTAGAGCGATTCAGCAACTTTTTAAAACTGGAATATGTAGAATTAAAAAGAGGGGGCGTAAGCATCAATGGAAAACACAGACCAAGCATGAAGCTTTTACCTGAAAAACGTTTAAGTGAGTCGAGAGGAGGAAAAGGGGATTCAAGAAAGCGGAATCACTCGACAAGTTTGAGAGAAGAATCAGAAACCATAGGAAGCTGTCGATCGTCGGATTTAAAATCAAGCTAGCTGCACCTGAATTTCAGAAAACAAAACAGGGTTTTGGTTTTGGGAATTAGGAAAGGAATGAAAAAGTAAAGCAAGTGAAGTAGAAAAAATTATACTGTACTAATTTAATTCAGAGCCCTTTTTTAATGCGACACCTGCCAACACGCTGTCCTGATGATTTTGAAAGGGAAAATTAAAGTAGGTATTATAGAGTAAACAAATACTTAGCAGTAGTAGTGAAAAAAATAGATTAGGAGGGTTTAACCATGATTAATTGATTGATGTCCCTTCTGCATCTAATCTGTCTTCGGTGAATCTCCAGCTACTTCTGCATCATCCTATATATACTAAAAGAAAAAGAAAAAGTAACTACTTTAACTAATACGTAACATAATAGTAATAAGAATCCAACATAAGTGATTACAACGCTCGGAACTGTGTTCGCTGGCGAGTGAAATGACGGCGGACATATTTTTCTTGTTTTTTGGGGGGAAATTAAGCATATTGACCTTCTGGGTTTCAAAATCACACTACATTTATTATCCCTGGCCCATCTACCATTTTCCCACCAAAAAACCATTTGCACATTTCGAATTTCAACATTCAAATAAATCTATCTTTAATCATAAATGTTTCATATATTTTTTAAAGGGAAAAAACTCAAATATGCCATTGAACTTTCAGAAAAGGCTTATTTATGTCATCCGTTAAAAGTTTGGCTCATTTATGCCATTACCGTTTAAGAAAAGGCTCATTCATGCCATTATTTTTTAACAGTGGTTTTGCAAAACCATTTTTTACACGTGGCCAATTATAATTCGGCCACGTCATTAATTTTTTTTTATAAAAAAAATTGAAATTCTGAACAAAAATTGAATTATAATTTGGCCACATCATTATTATTTTTTTAATTCAATTTTTGGGGAGTTCGGATTTCTCGGACAAAGATGTTGTCAAGGTTTTTCCGTACTTCCTAAATTGATTTTATTAATAGTAATAATTGTTGAATTGCATGACCACCTCATCTAAAAACTTAAGTTGTTAGAGAGGGTATACTTCTATTTTCTTAGTTATGCCTTTAGCAGGCTTGCTTATCTTTTACATGGGGCAAGCGCGTGAACTATTCTACGTCATTTAGTTCAGTATTCACCTACGCATATAATCGGAACAGTAAATTTGGTGATTGTACTTATTTGGTTCTGTAAAGGTGGAAAAAGTCATGGAATTTTTCATGTAAGATGCATAGGACATTTTGGCTTTGGCACTTAAAAGTATATGTAAACTTTTCATGTTTCTGCATTTGGCTTTAGTGCGGGTTGGTTAGTTTATCAGTGATCATCGATTTCCTAAGAAAATGGCAAGGTTACCTTCTGCCATGTATCAATAATGGCGCAACTTCTATTTACAGGGGAAATGGCTTTGCTAGTTGAGGGTCTTGGAGTTGGTGGAGAAACATCAGTGGAGGAATACATTGTTGGCCCAACAGATGAACTTGTGGAGGACCAGGAACCAAGTGCTCAAAAAGATCAAATTAGGTTATTTAGGCCTGAACAGGGACGCTCTTTGGTTGCTCGGCCTGTCACTGGGCAAAGTGTACTTGGTATTGCATCTCGCCAAGGAAGCACATTTGCACATATGCCCCTCATGGACCCTGTTGTCGCTCTGTTTGGCAGCGTTTATGAGAAGCTTCCGGATGCAGGAAGCAAGGGAAGCATGCTCTTTCCACATCTGGGCAGCATGTTTAGTGTTGCTGGAAATCAAACAAAATATGAATATTGGGATGAAGAAAACCTTGCCATTGAGGGCGACGATTATGCATCTGAGGCTGCAGCTGAAGAATCTGATGACAATTTGCAGAGCCCACTTATATCACGTCAGACAACAAGCTTGGAAAAGGACATGGTTCCGCCTCCATCCCATGGAAGTATTTTTAGCATGATGCAGGGTAATGATGGTGAACCAATTGGCAGTGCTGGCATTGGTGGTGGATGGCAGCTTGCTTGGAAATGGACAGAGAGAGAAAGTGATAATGAAAAGAAGGAGGGAGGTTTTAAAAGAATCTATTTGCATGAGAGTGGAGCTCAGGGAATTGGAAGGGGATCTTTAGTTTCTCTTGCTGGGGTGATATGCCTGCTGGTGGTGAATTTGTCCGTGCTGCTGCTTTGGTTAGTCAACCTGCTTTATATTCAAAAGATTTGATGGATCAACATCCTATTGGACCAGCTATGATTCATCCATCTGAAGCATCTGGAAAAGGGCCTAGTTGGAGAGATTTGTTTGAACCAGGAGTCCAGCATGCATTGATTGTTGGTGTGGGGATTCAAATACTTCAGCAGGTAATCGCTAATATTACTAGAAAAGAATGTAACTGCTGCCTTTCTTCCTTACATTTCCGTGACAGTCTTTCTCTTTTGCAGGTTGGTCACGTTCCCTCCTTAAATATGGATTTGAAATCTGTAGCTTTCTTGCTATGTTTTAGAATCTTTTGAGTGTCCATTTGGCGCAATTGCTGTCTTAACAGTGATTCCAGAGATCTTCTGCAGCTAAGAGTCAACTGGGAAGCATATTTATTTCTTCAAGAAGTGTAGTACATAGATTCTTTCCCAACCTTGTTATTTGGATCTGTCTTCCCACCTTCGACCTAAATTTCTGTTGATAGATTAGGAATTTAGGAAAATTTCTCTGCAGAATCATAAGAGATTAGACTCTCCATCTTGAATTGAATCTTATTCAAGGGATGACATGGATAAGTTGTGATCAGTCATGATATATCTTGAGCATTTCTTATAGATCGTGGGAACCAAAAAATAAAATAACTGGATAACTAATAGGGTGATGTGTCATCAAAAATAAAAATAAAAATAAAAATAGGGAGATGTATGGTCAGTGTTCACAGAGATGGATATTGGTTAGAATTCAGTCAATGCAAAGTGATGTTCAATGGTGTCAGTTTTTGTAAGGTAGCATGACCGAAATATAATAGCAGTGATTCGTTGGTTACATTATAATTGAATAAGACATGCCTATTTATCTTTTCCTTTTTTGATATTTGTAGAAGAATTGATGGAGAAATTTCAGGCAGGCTTGGTATATTCATTATCTGAAGAGAGGGAGTATCCCTATGCTTCATGCTGGTTGTTGATATATGAAATACTTACATGTGCTGCTCGGAGTGCTAGACCATTGCCCTTTATAGCCTCAGATTTAAATATTTCCTTTATACCTGGTGGTCAAGATTATAACTTAATTTAACCTCCAATTAAATACTGAAATAACACTATTTTTGTGTAAAAAGTGACGTAGAAATTTCAAGTAGACATGGTATATTCATTTGCCGATAATAGGGAGTGTCCCTATATTTCATGTTGGTTGCTGATATATGAATATTTGCAAACGCTGCTCGTACTGCTAGACCAATGTCCTTTATGGCCTCGGACTTAAATATTTCTTTTGTGCCATAATTTAACCTCCAAATATATACTGAAAAGACACTAATTGAAAGATATTCCTACTTCTAATATCTTCCTGATTTTTCTTTTTCACATCTTGGTTTGGCATCCTTGAAAAGAATGCTACTGTTAGCTTGGTTAATAGGACAAAATATGGTGATCTATGCTATATCAAAATAGTGTCTGCTTTTCTTTGAAGCATTCTTATGTGGAGTTGTTATTCATGCAGTTCTCAGGAATTAATGGAGTTATGTACTACACTCCGCAAATACTTGAGCAAGCAGGTGTAGGAGTTCTCTTGTCAAACTTAGGCATCAGTTCTGCTTCTGCATCTCTGCTGATAAGTGCAATCACAAATTTCTTAATGCTCCCTTCTATAGCCGTTGCCATGAGGCTTATGGATATCTCTGGCATGAGGTAACTTCCTTTTGAGTAATTACTATGGAAAAAGTGAATATGATGCTGCTTTAACTAACCTCCCAATTCACTCACTTCTCCTCCTAACTCTTTAGTGCCTTGTCCAAATGGCTCATAGTATTTTGGTTTGATTTCTCATCTCCAATTGTGAGGTGTTTCTCTTCACCCCCTTCTCTCTTTAAAGGTCTAAGCCGTGCGTCAATAAACGTGCCTGGAATTTGGATTCAATGCATCTCCACTGCATTAGACTGTTTGCTAGATCGAGATGGAGTGATGGAGATATAGCAAAAATTCTGCTTTAATAGATGGAAGGCTGGGTGTGCTTTGCCATTGTTAGCACTGGAAAAATATAATGGTAGCAGGATTTAGTGGGAGGCTTCCCATTCAAACCAGGGTCTGAGCATATAAGGAAAAAGAACCTTCCATTGCACTAAATTATAGTTCTCTCATGAGGGGAGAAAGGATTCAAATCCCTTCAATTTTGCTGTCTGACCTGCTTCAAGTTAGAGTACTGGAGTACAAGCAAGTTTCATTGCCTCTCGGAAGCGTTCCGGCTCATTTTAAGACGAGCTCTCTCATACATCTTTGTTTGTACGTTTTGCTTTGGCAAATGTATAAACTTCTCCTCCACAGTGCTTATCACTGAATAGACCTTAGCATCCTTTTTTTCCCTCGTATGTATAGTAGATTTTAGCATTGAATGGTTACTTGTGCTTAAGGCTGAATAAGAAGTGAGTGGATGCCCTATTGTCCTTATGTTCCAGTCCTGCAAATCTGATTACTACCCTTGCCTTTCTGTGTATTGTTGTATTGCAGGAGTCTGCTGCTAGGCACAATTCCAATCTTAATAATAGCCCTCATTGTTTTAGTCATTGGAAGTTGGGGACTGTTGCAAAGGCTACTATATCTACAGTCTGTGTTGTTTTGTACTTCTGCTCATTTGTTATGGGGTTCGGGCCCATTCCCAACATACTCTGTTCAGAGATATTTCCAACTCGGATTCGAGGAATATGCATTGCCATATGTGCCCTAGTGTTCTGGATTGGGGATATTATTGTTACCTACACACTACCTGTCATGCTGTCTTCTATTGGTCTTGCTGGTGTATTGGCATATATGCTATCGTCTGCGTTATATCATGGATATTTGTTTTCTTGAAAGTGCCTGAAACCAAGGGGATGCCTCTTGAAGTGATCTCGGAGTTCTTTGTTCTTGGTGCAAAGCAGGCTGCTGCTGCTGCTGCTAACAACTAATGTTGACCGTTTGACAACATGTTGCCTTGAATTTGCTTTTGTTTTAAGGTTCCATTCTCTGATAAAGCGGTGTTTGCTATTCAGTTTTGTGAGTTGTGTAGAAACAGTAAAAAGATTTTTTAAATGAGTTATAAGACCCGTATCATGTCGATTGCAACTGCAGTTTCCACATTTCTATGTCCAGTTATCCATGTTTGGTTTGAGTATTGGTCAGTTGATTAGTGTTCATGCTTGTGTAAAGCTCTGCTGAAATGCTGCAAAGGTGTTAGCTTTGTTTTAAGTATAACTTATGGTGATTAAACGAAAAAACTTATGAATCGCAAAGGTTCATTAATCACTGTTATCTCCTTGATCGGTTGGCCTGACAGTTTTGCATTGGATGTCCTCAGTTCCTTGCACCACATATGGGGAGATTATTACTTCAAATAAGTATTTGTTTATCAAATTGCTCATTATTTCAACGTCAAACTTGCAACTATGAGATTTAAAGTTTGAAGAACAATTTCTTACTGAGTTTTTCAACTTTAACCAGTAAAATTCAACTATGTTATCATGTTCATACTCTACTCTTTTTCAACTTGTCTTAAAACTATTCTTTAATTAAAAAATAAAGTAGTAACCAATTCATGTCCAAATGCACGTCACCTCTTTTGTGAGGTATGTTGAGGAAAGAAAAAAAGAAGGTATACTATTACTAGTGCGGAAGGTTTGCAGCTGTTCTATCTAGTGCAGTGTAGCTCAAATATGAGTAAAATCAGAGTTGAGGCAAATGGAAGTTCAATAAGATTCTTCAAAGTTAGCAGATGTTGCATGGATAGGAAAGATGCCTTAAAGCAAAATGAATGCTAGTATATAATTTTACTAAGATAATGCAGATTCTACTTTTAGATGAGTTGATAGCATTCACTCTTCTTGCTTGCATGACAACCAAACAGCACTTGAGGCATCACGCAATGCCCCTTTTTCCTGCTAATGTCACAATTTGCCGAAGGTGGCACAAATACAATATGGAGTTGTTCCATTATTTGGCAGTTCAAGCAGCGAAATGATCAGTCTCTGACGATCACAATCCCTAAGCATATGGGAACAAACAGCTTGACAATTAGTGCAGAAATCATATGGGTTGGCTACTGACAAGCCTGGCACCAATACGGTCGAGCTTCTTCACCATTGCCAAGGCCTTCAGCTTGCCATGTTCCAGAAAAGCCTCTACCATTCTTTGCCCAATCTCTCTCCCTGTCTCCTCATTGTCAGTCACCGCTACTGCTGTGGGCCCAGCTCCGCTAATGGTGCAGCCAAAAGCCCCTGCTTCCATTGCTGCCTTCTTCACTCCTTCCATTCCTGGAATTAGTGGTGTTCTCCTTGGCTCCACTATTTTATCGGAGGACAGTGCCTTACCAAAACCAGACACGTCTCCCAGCAGCACGGACGCCACCAATGCACCTGCCTGACTACAGTTCCAAATGTGATGGGACATGGTTATCTCTTGCGGCAGTGCCTCCCTCATTTTCTTTGTTGGGGCCTCAAATTCCGGATTCGCCAGCACAAAGAAGAGGTCCTTTTCATGAGGGAAGTTCAACTGAATTAATTCAAGAGGATGGTAACTCCGGATCAATACGAAACCCCCCATAATAGCAGGTGCCACATTGTCTGCATGATAACCGGAGACCTTGGATTCCGAATCTAACCCAGCAAGCACGAGGTCAGTCAGGGTCAGTGGGCGGCCAAAAAGCTCGTTGACAGCCACGGCAGCAGCAG